GCGAGACGAAAGTCACCGATGGTTAGAGACCTTGAACGACAAGGTTCAAAATCGTTTGCAATGGTGAAGGTGAATTCATTCATTGTATTCTCTCATAACCTAACCTTCTTGATCCCTCATCATAGCTATCTCTCTCCTAAATTAATCTCACTGATTATACTCTTCGAATCCAGTCTTCGAACCCTAATCATCTTCATCAATATCAATACTTCTATCATCGCAACCACCATGGGTTTTGAACTGACAGAGGCATCTCTGTGCTGAGGCGGTATGGTAACCTGAACTTATGTACCCAAGTACGGAATTCTGCGTTGTAACTGACAGGTTGGCTCCACACTCAAAGCCCTAACAGCATGCCGGACTGACTTAATAACAGTCAAATTCTTCCTCCAAATCCTAATAACTCTCTTCTTTCCACGACTAACTGTCATCGTATACCGTCATCACCTCACAACGCTACTGCTGACCATTTGAATACACGAAGGCTCATTTATGGTCTTCTCAAACTGCCTTCTGAATTACATCTCGCAGGTTATAATTTTCAAACCTTGTGCACAATAGGACAACGGATATCCTTAGCTTGCAATTTATAATCTCGAGACATCAATGTATGTTGGATCTCGGAAACGCGCATACACCATCCGAATGCAGTGGTTTATTTGGTCTCATTCTGTCAAAATACAGAACCGTTGTGATTATGGCTTCGTGTGTCTGGAAGCCGCAATGCTGCTGCCTGTGTTCTCGCTGGTGTAGGTAAAGCATTGATTTGTGAAGTAGAACTAGTTCTCTTGAATTGAGTTCCAGTAGATTGTCTAATGGTTGCATTTTAGATCGTCCAATTTTTTGCATGTTAAAGTGGCACTTGATAAATTAATGATAACAGTATAACAATTTGTTGAAATGACTGACAGCTACTCTACTATCATTTATATCTGCAATAGGTTCCTATTGTTTGTCGGTTTTTTTATATATTGAAACTGGATCGTGATCAATGGATTTAGACAATTATTATAAGCCATATTCAATATTCAGTTTATCCATACTGGTAAATATAACTGGAAAGCTAAATGTTCTTTTGGATGCATAAATATTCAAATAATCAAATCATGATTGATTGACAAGGTCTACGGAATAATTCGAACGACAATTACATTATTCTTCAATACTTCTTCAATACAACAATTTATCTAATAAAGCTGCAAATCACTAAACTGACCATGTTCGTTATCTACAAAATATAATATACAGTCATATTTATATGCTCATTCTAAAATTCAGACGTACTTAACTAGCACTAAACTCTAAACACAACATAGGAATAAATAGACTATAATTATCAAGCTCAAAAACCGGATGTTTTTATTTTATTTTAATGATTAACACTGTGTATGCACCATACGCATCTACCATACTCGATTTCAAATCATAAGGTTGTCTGAATATCGTTTGAGTATTTATAGTAGCCCACTCAACCAATCAAATAGCCTGTTTGTGTTAAAACAGAAACATATCGATCGATCGAGATTTGTGGGCAGACTCACAAATTGGGCTGTAGATAATCAGACTTGAATCGATAAATAATCCATTTTGAAATTTAAAATCTCTCGAAACTGTTATTGTGTGCTAAACGTTTTCGGTTACGTTTGGTGGAATGATTGTATTGAGAACTATTTGGATGCTTGACCGGAAGTCGTTTTGTTATAACAGAGAAAAGGAAATGGCTTATTTTATTTTCTATGCAATTTTCACCAGTGTAATTTTGACGACCGGAAATGCTAACCCTTTGTCTACTACATCTACGCCTGAGTCAAGAACTATCCCCACCCACACAACGTCTTCATCATCTTCAAACTTCACTCAAACAGACTCCTCTGCAGTGACGTTGAGTACAGGGACTACCGGTGTTGCTACAGTAGGAAGTACCACCGTTAGCACATCCATCGGAACGAGCACTTCTCCCCCTGTGGAATCCGAAGGAACAGAGGTTGTTCCAACCATCTCTGATATCGCTTCTCCCGGATCCACAGATGTTTCAGAAGAAACTGATTATAAAATATCCAGTGGTACACGGATCAGTAACAAATCCATGATTGTTGGTGAGGCTGGAGAGGAATCAGTGAGTGTGGGAACTACAGAGTCACAACACCAGACGAGTCAAAAAACCACTTTTCAGGAAATCGGTACTACTGAAGTAAAAAATGTTCCTTCGGACATAACCAGTGAAAAGAGACATCGAACCGGTGTAAATTGGACTACCAAAAATGCTAGATATTTGTCCACCACATCTACGCCTGAGTCAAGAACTATCCCCACCCACACAACGTCTTCATCATCTTCAAACTTCACTCAAACAGACTCCTCTGCAGTGACGTTGAGTACAGGGACTACTGGTGTTGCTACAGTAGGAAGTACCACCGTTAGCACATCCATCGGAACGAGCACTTCTCCCCCTGTGGAATCCGAAGGAACAGAGGTTGTTCCAACCATCTCTGATATTGCTTCTCCCGGATCCACAAATGTTTCAGAAGAAACTGATTATAAAGTATCCACTGGTACACGAATCATTAAGGTACCCATATTTGTCAATGAATCAGTGGACTTTGGAACTACGGAGTCACAACACTTGATGAGTCAAACAACCGCCTTTGAGGAAATTGAAACTACTGAGGAAGAACAAGTTTCTACCGATGGTTTTTGGTATTCACGTTTTCAAGCAGTAACTGATAATAGAATGCCAGGTGGTAGGAAACCTATTGACAGATCTATGATTGCTGCTGCTAGTTTAGAGGAGACAGGTGATACGGGAGCGGCGGATTCACAACCCTCGAAGTCGGTAAGAAAAGGTTAGAAACACTTGTGTATATTTCAATATGTAGCGTCTTTGTTGTGATTTGCCTAATATTTGTCACATTTTATCGCTAAGTGATTTATATTTGTCTAGAATGTGTCGTTCTTGTTGAGCATACTAATTGCATATCCTAAGGCAGCTGACTGGTTTCCATTTCATCTGTGCTATCTGATTACATGTTTTAGTGCTCTTGAAACAACAGTGAAGTTCTGATTACTGATTGATTGATTGATTGATTATAAGTGAGTAGATAGCTACTAGAATAGTCATTCTCGTTATTTTGTTCATAATATTTATCTTACTGAAAGTGACTTGCATGTGTTTTTGGGCTAATCAAATCAATAACGACCTACCTTTGTGTCTTAGAGACTCGATTTCAATCGGATTCTGATAATCCATTAACCAGTACTGAAAAGCAATTTTTTCTAGCTGATGTTTTTGTCAAGTCGAAATCATGTGAAAAAGCGCAGATAATATTATGGTTGTTGAGGTCGGTTGTACGTTGATTTCGCTGAGATTGATGACGGTTGATGTCTTCTACTAATGTTGGTCAATGTTATCAGATGTTTTCAGAGCATTGAGTGTGGTAGAATAGTGGTCAACAATAAGATAACTTACATTACCTAATTATCTGATGGTTTGCATACATGAATTCAGTTTGTCATTGATGTCCATGTTATCTTCACATTTGTGGAGAGAGGATTGTTTTGTAAAGCTAGATGATTACCGAACTCTCTATCTTCCATCATGTACAATTTTCTGATGAAACCATAACCATCTGAATACATATCTTCTTGATCGATCAAGTTTAAAATGTAGAGATGAGTAAATGAACGTTGACAATCTTGATGAGTTGTAAATTTCGATCAGTGTGTTTTATGAGATATTGCTTTCGAGTCCTCATGAGGATTAACAGATATTTGTCATAAAACGTAGGTGAGAATTATTTCCTAATGAAGGAGGTGGACAGCACTGACGAACATAACTTGAACTAATCGATCCCGATGAGAGTTGGCCATAAGCTGTGACTCGACCAGTAAATTTCGAGTAGAGAGTGTGTACAGGGTAAATGTACTTCGGTTTTATGGCTTTCAGTGACAGACTCTGTCACAGAAACTCACGATCAACAGATTCAGAGTCCACTTTCCTGTCGAGGAATACATCCGTTGTCGGACGTCGAGAAGAGGTATGAGTTTCCGTTTATCTGATGGTAATAACTGTTATGGAATGAATAAATTCATGATACGTTTGTTGTTCCACTACACATTTTTGATAATATGCTGACATTTGACTTGTATCTCCTAGTCAAGTACTCTTGCTATTTGTTTGAGGTAACAATTATCATATTGGTTTGAGTGACTATGTTAAATAAAAACTAATGGAGACAGCGTCCTTAGAGAATGAATGAACCGACAATAAATAGTCAGTTATGTGTTCATTCAAAATTCACCTCAATCAAACTCTACCCAACAGATCCTCCTTCTTGCTATTGTTCTATGTTAACCTCATTATGTGAGTTTGTTATGACTGTGTTTCTGTTCTCATGAACTGTAATCAAAATTTCTAATATCTTCTTCGTTCTCACCTTACTCGACTAGTCTATATAATACACAATCTGTTTTCTGTTTCTGCAAAAATCTCTGTTTCCATGCTGTTCTAGAATATTCACATTTATAATAACCTATTTATATGTTGAGTGAGCACTTGAGTGAATTCGGTTCTTCCGTATCACCACGATCTCTTGATAATTCTGTCTGTACATTTTAACTCAGATTATTGTGTTGATAATTCCTGCATAATGAAATATGTACAGTTGTTTCGTTTTAATGATTATTAATGAGTACTATGGTTTTAGTTTGTAAGCAGCTGAATAGAATGCACGAAATCAATGAATTCCTGTACCTGTTATTGTGTTTGCTACGATGTTGGTTCTTTCATTATTCAAGTTTGTAAATTGTGAACGTTTTATGAAACTACTGTTCTGACAGTTTGTTTTTAAGGAAATCTGCACATGAAGAGATAAGAGTACTGGAAACAGTTTTAGTCGGTACATTAACTGATGATGTTATTAGTTATTTAATAAATGATTGTGAATTCAACGTATTTGTTTAATTTTCCATTTATTTTATGTTTTTAAATAATCGCAATGTAGCAGCTGCAACTGGTGCCGCAATGAATATCGTTTCACCAGCCAAGGCTTATTACGCATTACAACTGTTGGCTCTGGTTATTATTCGACTAGTTTGTTGACGGTAATAAAGGAGATGTGTTCTTCTTATCATTGATTTGTTCGTCATTTGTTCATCATATAGAATTCGACTACAATGTGAAACTTCATCATTGATTTAAACATAAATGACAAAATACAGATTACTAAATGATCATATATTTCATGATTAAAATAAATATTATCTATTTAAACATGATGGTTTTTGAAAGTGTTCTAGCATTGTTGATGTTCCACTGGGTTGATGTGATTGCAAACGTATCAACCTTCTTCTTTCATCAGACTACAGGTCAAGATTGGGATAGCTTCTTCACACGGTAATGGAAGTTGCTAGGAACATCTGTAACGTGGATTTTGTGCTAGAATAGTTTTAAGCTAATAACGAAATAGTGAACAACCGATTTGTTGGTAAAAATATGGTCTAACCTAATTCACCGATGTCAGTCAATTATTAAATGATTGTGTTCGTTAGAGATCACTCCGTTCTTCGTGAAGATACTGCTTGATGGGTATTTTGTCTGGAAGTGATGTTGATGGGTTTTTCGTAATTTGAAATGTTGATGTAGAGTTCAAGATGATAGGATATATGGGGTTTTAGATTACTACAAAGAAGTTTCTTGAGTTTGTGGACGGCAGTTTTTGCCGATGGACAGTGCACACATTGATGGAATTAGTCTACTTGCCAATACAGAAAACACTAGGTTTTTCTCGTTTCATGTGTCAATTCATCATTGTTTGATACAACTGATCATTGTGGTGAGTTATTAATTTCCATTACCCAGTTTTCAAGCCGAAAAAACTTGCTTTTCTTATTGCATGAATGAATTTCGATACTGGTCATCTTACTTGTGAGTTGATCACTGTATAGTTGTTAGTAGTGGATGATATTCTTCAATTTGGTGGAGTGTGAATTAGTAACATGACTTATTTGATTGTTAGATGTGTTGGAATTTGTTGATGAGTTTCGTCATTTCAGTAGTTTGTCAATCCGTTAATGAAACTAACTTTGATCAACAATCTAAGATACAGAATCGGCGGATATCATCAGTGTTGACTATATGGAATCGTCTCACTACAGGATTGACATGCACGTGAAGTTGCAGTTGGCAACACGAGCCTAGTTGCTGCCTTGACGTGATGGCCGGACATGCTTATGGTGATTGCTGAACCGAGCAATGTTCGTCCAATTTTTTGCATGTTAATTAAATTGGCACTTGATAAATTAATGATAACAATAGAACAATTTGTTGAAATGACTGACAGCTACTCTACTATCATTTACATCTGCAATAGGTTCCTATTGTTTGTCGGTTTTTTTATATATTGAAACTGGATCGTGATCAATGGATTTAGACAATTATTATAAGCCATATTCAATATTCAGTTTATCCATACTGGTAAATATAACTGGAAAGCTAAATATTCTTTTGGATGCATAAATATTCAAACTGATCAAGTCATCATTGGTTGACAAGGTCTACGAAATAATTCGAACAAAACAAACGTGTCTGAGTGATAGTTTTGATAGAAGCAAAGTATTTGGATAACTCCTTCAGGAGCCTCTCTCGTGCTACTGCTGGTAAGTAAGTAAAATGCCAACGATGACAAGATGAAAGCATACTACTAGTATGGATCGAATGATAGGCAGAAGTAGGATCTTTTCGACCGAGACCACAAACGCAAATCAAATCAAATCTTCGACGCATATATTTGCAAATATTCACTTATTCGTACATTGATGTATGAACTCTATTTCTCTACGTCAGCCTAATCATGAACGTTTAACAAAGAAACTTTGTACTTCAACTACTATAACTACGATAACTGAATCATTCAGGCGTACTAACTTCAGTAACTCAATATAAAACAAAATCTATGAGAAAATATCATCTAGTTTCAGCCACAATAGATCACATTACAAGCCTAATGGATGAAAGTTAATAACTACAATAAATATGACATTATTAAGTAATCAGTTTAGAGAAAGAATAGTTTCTCATGATCGAATAACCCTAAATCAAACAAAATGCTAAACATTATTAATGGGTCACTTCAGTTGACATCATTTGATAGAAAGATAATATTTTATTTCGTTGTCTACAAGAGCTTTGAACCCATTGTTAGAGAAGCACAATTATAAAGTGAATTTAATGACCTCATTCTTATCTCAATTTAAAACTATGTCAAAGAGAATTTGGGCTATTGACAATCAGTATGATTTCGAATGTTTAATAATACAAACAATGGGGTTAATTACTATTATTTGAAGAAAGACTGTTACATAGCATTGTAGGCAAACAAATATCATTTTCAAAAAAGTACTAGATAGCTGTTTTATCCTAGTACGGAATTGATCAATAATGAGCATTCATGATGCTGTCACCAATCATTGAATGAAATTGAGTCTGCTGTCTCCATGCTTTCCATTGTAGTCTAGAGAAGATCAGTTCTTGATTTATAGCATGAAAATACACCAATTTCCATAAACTCTCTTCAGTAAAACGTACACATTGTTATAATTACTTACACTTTACAATTATTCGGATTTTTAAAATATTATTGGTCGTAATCATCTGATGAATACCTTAAGAAATAAAATGTATTGATGTTATTCTACTGAATTCTTAAATGTACGAAAAAGTATACAGTTCATTGATCCATCATAAAATAGTGATTGAACAACGATGTCAAACCGGAAACGTTTATATTGTGTTCTACCATTCAAATCAGTTAACGACTCACACTTCCTGAATACTGTCCTAGATACCGACCGACGTTACGAGGTTTTTATCGGAAGAGTAATTCACTCATTCTCAATCAGTCGACGAAACTAGTTTTTTACACTTCTTATCAAATGATTTTACAGTAGAATGTGACCTGCCTAGTTTTGACCAGTATATTTTGTTTTTTTATTTATAATTGATCTATCACTGTTTGGCAACCAAAGCTATGTTTTTGTTGAATTCCTTAGTTCTAGTTGAATTCTATCAACCATGTTGTACGGTGACTGCTGATAGGATAAAAATAACTTGACACCAAATGCAACACTATGATACAGTATTACAGTTAGTTTGAGATACCCGTTAGACAATCTCTCTTTTGACGTTGGTTTTTATGTTCATTGACAATGGTCAACAAAGTATTCTAGAAATCTACAAGTGAATGACACTCTCAATAACAATCCCTGGTTCACGTTTATGTGATAAGCTAAAATAGCAGTTTGTGTTGCTTACCAGATTGTAACAATTCAAACATTTTCAAATTGTACGAAACACATTCAATCAGATTATTATTGTTCAACTATGAATTTTGGAAAAATATTTCATTAGAAAATGGTTATTGGTAGAGTTAGTCAATCAGTTATAATAATTGATAAATTTGGAACTGGTGTACAAACATTCAAGATACTATAGTACTGTGCGGACTCGAGAAAACCGGGATGGTTTCAGATCTGCATGTGGATGCATAGACCAAATATTCATACTTCGGAACGTTCTAATCCATACACATACTTCTTGACAGTTGACAATAAATGTATTTCTCGACCTTAAAAAGACCTTTGACTCTGTTGATCGTGAGGTTGTATGGCAGTGGTCACTTTCAGTAAGATAAATATTATGAACGAAATAACGAGAATGACTATTCTAGTAGCTGCTACCTACTCACTTATAATCAATCAATCAATCAGTAATCAGAACTTCACTGTTGTTTCAAGAGCACTGAAACGTGTAATCAGATAGCACAGATGAAATGGAAACCGGTCAGCTGCCTTAGGATATGCAATTTGTATATTCAACAAGAACGACACATTCTAGACAAATATAAATCACTTAGCGATAGACTGTGACAAATATTAGGCAAATCACAACAAAGACGCTACATATTGAAATATACACAAGTGTTTGTAACCTGTTTGATATTTACCTTCGCCTCGAAAATCAGAAGAAATTTTTTCTCTTTTATTCGTCTCACTTTCTTAAAGGATATTTTTTTGACTAGTTGAGTATGGTGTTTGGGCTTTCCGTATTTCACTTTGTTTTTCCGGTTCTTTTCAACGTCCGAGCACGTTATGCAAATATCCAAATACAGACCAAAAATATGCATTAGGACTTCAAATCAAATTTTACCCCGAATTTTGAAATGTTCCATCTATCTAACAGCACGACTGAGATCCGCAAGTGATTGGTTGTTGAGCATAAAAGACGATTGGTCAATGAGAACTGGTTTTTACCGATTACAATAGAATCCTGAGTTAATTCCTATTAGAACGTGTGGGCACTGGACGGCCGTTTCCTCATGGTGTGGGATTAAATGTCAGTTGGGTAAATCATCAATTCATGACTTTTCTTAGGCAAATAACGCGTTTGGAACGTCTGTAGAGGAATGGGCTCCTTGATTTTAAGAAATAAATAATAACTCTAACGTACTATGGCGTAAATGACAGCTGACAGCCGTGTCTAAGATTAACAACAATTTATCGACAACCGATCAGGAAATTAGAGCATACAAATATGAAACTTTCTACGTGTAAACGAAAATTCAAGGAAAGAATGAAGAAGGGAATAACAAGTACAAGATTTGAAAGAAGTTAGTTACAATTATAAATGTAATAGACATTATTAATTTACGTAAATATTTTATTGTATTAATTTGTGTACTGAATTCAAATAAGTAGTATAAGTCAATATGCAAAACAGAAGAGATAAGGAAAACAAATAGGTGCACTGACTAACGTGAGTTTAAAGAGCATTATAATTCACTTTAGTGCCATGAATACAACTTTATGATGAATAGCAGAAGATATAAAACAGTCTAAAAATTCTATTAGATTGATTTCAAGGATTTGCAATGTTTAGTTAATAATGTCGATATTCAGTGTTTAATCAAGTCAGTGTTAACCTTATTGCGAGAATTGCCAGAATGAATATTTAAGATTCTCATTGTGAAAATTAGAACAGCATATATAAGCGAACAATATTGTTGTTTTCGATCAGATCGTCATCAGGCTTTACTCTAATATACATGAATATATTCATATGAAAATGTTCAACCAATCAATGCAATTTATGAGTCAATAATCACAATGAAATAGATTACGTCAATACACATAATAGATAAAAGTGCACGTTGATAGTAGGAAGCCAGGTGTACTAATAGTAGTACATTCATGACTAAATATTTATTATAAAAAACATTAACTGGGGACCCTCAGTTTCCTCAATAAATTTTTTTAGGTTTTTCGTGTAATAAGTAGCTGTGAATATTGGGGAAATGCACTGCCTCATACACCGATCCTGTTATTCATTTGATTGGGAACTATTAAAAGTAGTGTGTATTGAATAGGTAATTAGTCCTAAGTTCAGGACTATTTTACTAAGCTTACTCTAATAACGTCTGATATATTTAATAAGAATCTAGATTATCATTGGGGACGTTAAATCCTCAGAACTCACTTGCAAAAGGTCCTAATTTTGGATTTTATGTTTTCGAGCATGGGCTGACCAGTTGACTTTGATATTACATTTCCCACTCGCAAAATCCTTGGCTGTCATTGGTCGATGTGTTATTTTAGTGCGCTATTTTTGTGGCACTTCCAAGGACGTTTCTATTTCGTATAAATAAACTCGATCTGTATGCTTGTGAACTTCATATTCTCTGAGTGCTTGTACAATACACTTTCTTTACCATCTAAAGACTTCTTCCTTTATTTATTGGGGTCTTGGGACGCTCGGATTAGAGTAGCCCATAGTGTCACTGAATCATTTGTCTTCGCTCTAGTTTACTGAACTTGTATTAGCTGCAAGCATAATAATTGACGCGCATAATAACTATAGAGTATACTGCAAATTTTTACCCAAAATGAATTCTTTCAGTGAAATTTTTGATGCAACCACAAGTTTTCATGTGTATGTATGTAGAGTGACATTGATTATTATGTCAGTGAATAGAAGATGATAAGTATTTCTATAAATGTGAATGAAATAGTAGGGTAGCGAAAAAATCATGCGAAAAGTGTATCAATACTGAAAAATCTTAATAATAGGAAGCTTCTCATTATCGGTTTTGAAGTGTGTATGTGTGCATATCACAAGTTCTTCAGTTATTTAATGATAATAACATTAATACTACTACTGTGGTGTGAGCTACTTATAAGTAGTATATGACGTGAGTGTCAACGCAATGTCTGGCAGCAGAAGATCGGGGAAGATCAAGAAAAGAAGAGCGGCAACACAATGGAATTTGTATGAATCGCATGAATAGTGACAATGGATTGATGTTTTGCAACAGGAACAGTCCAGTTCGATATGATGATGGACTGATATTTTGCAAATTAACGATTTACGATATGGTTTTCCTATTTTACTGAGTAACTCTGTAATTTTCGTTAAATACACTTCGGTTGCCCCACCTGTGTTCTCCTTCAGTACACTACTAGTACTACTACTACTACTAATAATAATAATAAACTGGAAATACGATTAAGGAATGTGGAATGAAATTTGTCGAAACATCAAAATTTCTGTAAGTCCAGACACACCATCTAGTTCTTTTATTCTTGACTTACTACTTTATTTTTAAATAAAACAAAATAGATTTTAATATGAAGCTACTGGATTTACATATTGTAACCTCGACGAAAAGTCATAAGTACAGGATTATTTATTACTGCATAACTAAACTCTGGATGGAAATATTTGTCTAATCCTTGTTTACATGATTCACAATTTGCAGACACTTAAAATTATTTAGATTTTTTAAAGCATACCTTTAAAAAATGAGAAATTTTATTCTGACTTGATGCTTCAAATGCTGATAATCAATAAAACGGGTTTTTGTACCTCATATATCCTTCGGTTGACTATTTTCGACTAACAACCCGAAATAAATAGACCTTACATTTTATTATATTGGATATATAGCTGGACATGGAATCCAAAATACACTTTAAGTCCTTTTATAGAACTGATCTTTAGTTAGATTTGCCTTTATCAAAGTGTTAGTGTTCACATTATGACTAGAACCCAGTTTGTTTCACTACAAGCGCCCAACATGTTATTCATTAAGTTACGGAATCCTGATAGCCACTAAACTTTTAAATGCCCTGAAATTATCGAGCAAATGTTTGTAATTTTAATTTGTTAATATTTAAGAGTGAACCTGATAGGTTCTGAATATGAACAAATCCTTGAAGATAAATAAACTAGTTTGAAATATGCAACTGGATATTTTTCCTTAAAAATAAAGCCTACTTATTTACTGATAAGTAGTAAGCATTTTCAACTTGTTTGAAGTTTCCACCAACGTTCGCCAGTCGGTTTGCTGGTTTAGTGACATTTTACCAGGAATCAGTACTGTTTGAGACGTTATTAGTTCCTCATGAATCTTTTATTTACTTACTCTGTAAAATATTAGGCTAGAGTTATTTGCTGGTATATTCACGTAACTCTATAATTAGATAATCAGGATTAAATAACAAATAATTAACATTCGGATTCTACGCCGTAATTATTGCATAAACTAGAAAAGAGACTAAACATTCTGCGTTAGATACTGGCCAGGTATTTCTGAAGAATATCAAGCTAGGACAAAATATCTATTATGGTCTGCCAAATAATCAGTTTTTCGTAAAAATTCATTTTGAAATCAATATAGCTTAAAAATATAACCCATAGCGATATTCATATTTCATGATTTTTGGTGACCACAAAGTAAAAATTATATCTACTTATGTTTCGTTGTGTAATCATAATTATATTCAATATCTGTTTACTTGTATGAATTCTGAGTAATATTTGTTGATCTACCTTTTAGCTGTTCAAATAAATTCTGCCTATGCTGTTCAGTTTTCTACTTTATTTGTCGCAGCCCGTGATTTGGAGATTTAACCAGTGTTGTTACTCTTCACTACGTGGGACTATTGAGCCTAGAATCTTGTTTATTAGCAGTATTGTATAGATATTTACCCTTCATGCGGAACATTAGTTGGACTGAGCGAACTGTATTTGTTGTGGTAATCCCAGAGCGGTATTTGACGGACGTCTTTCAATTTATTTCAATAGAGAAATCCTTTTTACACATTACGGAGAGCAGCTAACTGCAGCATGAGACAACCCAAACTAAAAAGCCTCAATGTCAAAGGAACAGAGGTAGGCCAATAATCAACACTACGTCGAGAATCGGGAACATAAATGAAGGGAATGAATAGTACTTGGGTAGAACTGGAAATGAGGACAGTGCACGTTAAATAATGTTGGTCGCTGACCTATGCTCAGTCAGGAGTAACAGGCGTAAGTACGTAAGTAACGTCAGCATAATGGGATTCTTTACTCTCCATAAACTACTACTACTACTACTACTTGATCGATCACAATATATGTTGACAGAGCAAAGAATTTATTTGAGCATATTTTCAACAAGTTCACAGGTCAGAGAGAGCTGACTGGTACATCAATCAGTGCTAGGAAGTAAGCTGATAAGACTGTTAATTTGCTGTCTGTTTATATTAACGTTTTATTTTCCAAGTTGCATTTTGATTTGAATTCGGTTGAGTGACATAAAGTGTTCAAGAATAATACTAGGCGGTATAGAAAATCATCATCATCATCATCATCATAGCGTGTAAACCGAAAATGCAACGAATGCCATATCAAACAATCAAAACATAAACATTTGAAATCATTAATCAATCATCATTGTTAGACCACCATTAGAAACCTGGAAGCACTGGACGGCCGTTTCGTCCTAGTATGGGACTCCTCAGCAGTGCGCATCCAGGTTTCTAATGGTGGTCTAACAATGATGATTGATTAATGATTTCAAATGTGTAAAAACGCAAACCTCCAAAAACTGTGCCCCAAAAAACATAAACAACGTTTCAGACAAAATTTCATTTATTTGAAAATTTTTTTCTTACAAAATAAAAAACAAACATACAACACATCTTTAACGAGATTGAAAGGTTGAAATACACTAAACGACACATTGAAAACAGTTTTTTGAAAAAATGCACACACACACACATGATGCATATTTTACGAAGCTGCTCCCTCCTCCTCCTCGTTCACATACTGTTCTCGTTGAAATAATAAAATAATAATAAAAACAAAAAAACATAGAAAAGCGAGAAGAGAAAAAAAACACAACTGACTACTAACACTATTTCACAATTGTAGAGCATGATGGTATTATTCATTTTTTTACATTTACTGACTGTGTACTACTGACAGTTTGTTGTTGTTGTTGTTTAGCGATGACTTGAGCTCGTAGAACTCTATGACCAGCTAAGAATGTTGGCACACATAATATACTCAAGTATTTCAATGTGGTAAACATATCCAAACGGCACCAGTAGACAAAGTAGAGATAACAAATCGCTGTTGTAAAAAAAAAGAACAAATAAGATTAGTCGGTGTGATAGGTGATTAGACTTTGTATAATAAAAATTGCTTAAGTTGGTCGACATTCATCCAACAGTCAGTCAGTCAGTCAGCTGCAACGTAGAACTTCGTACGTAAGTACATCATCAGTTCATGTTGCCATACCACATCAGCACACAGATATAATTGTAAATTCAAATCCAATAGTAGTAGAGGTAGTAAGGGAATTAGAAGTAATCGAAGAGGTTAGGGTTAGGAGATACTATTCAAGAAGTATGATTCAGTGAGAAAAGTTTAGAAAGTCAAACTCGTGGTGTTGAAGAATCCAGAAGATTAGGATTTGAGAGAACACAAAGAATAAATGCACCAGCGCCATTGCGAACGATTTTGAGCCATGTCATTCAAGGTCTCTAACCATCGATTACTTTCATCTCACGGACCCCAACCAGGTAGTCGACAATTACCGACATGGCTCAGTCCACTAGTCCATGACTTCATGGATTTCATCCAACAAGAGACAGACAGACAGATACAACGTAGAACTTCGTACATCAGTTCGAGTAGCCATACCACGTCAGCACAGAGACGTAACTGTCAGTTCAAATCCAAGAGTGATAGAGATAATAGAAGTATTAGCAGTAATGGAGAAGATTTGAGAGCAAAGATATGATTTGAAAAGTAAAATTCAGTGAGATAAATTCAGAAGGAGAAAGATTATGAGGATTATGAGGAATTCAGAAGGTTAGAATTAAAAAGCACACAAAGATTGGATGCACCTGCGCGCATTGCAAACGATTCTGAGCCATGTCGTTCAAGGTCTCAAGGTCTCTTATTTGATTTGATTTTGACTAATTTGGTTTCGTAACAGCACACGAGACCAAATTGGTCAAAATCAAATCCAACAAGAGATGAAATCTACACACACAGAGAAAATTTCCGTCATATTAAAAACTTAGACTGTAACGTAGAATTGGTAAGAGAGTAAGAGAGAGAGTCACAATGTAAAGCAACTTTAATTAAATTGATCTTAGTGGACCAAAATAGATTGATTTACGATCAACAATAAGCTACTTTTGAAAATAACAATCCAACAGAAACTATTAAATTGCATTCATAAGCCACCTTAAAATCATCCAGTTGGTAGGGAATGAGGCAAACCGAAGAACACACATTGTGCAAGACAACATTGGAAGAAACCTAGGGGCCGCCATAGAGTAATGCTTAATATTGCACAACAAGTGGAAAAAAAGATCGTACGACAAATTAAGCTAGGAGTTCTTTAATTCGGAAACCTAAACCTCAAAAGGTGTATCCAAAAGTTTAAGAAAATAATCACGTTATATAGTATTTCAACTCGTTTTTTAAACTTTTAACAGGGTTTTTTAAAATAACCAAAAACTTTTTAAAAATTTTCACAGCGTTTTTTAAAATTTTTTGTAATCCTTAGAATATCAGAAATAAATAGAAAAAACAACTTGATTTCGAATGAAAAAGCCTTATAAAAAAAGTTATTGAAGATGGATACAGCGTCAAGGATGCGGCATTTCTTACAGATGTAAACTATCAGGCCGCTACAAATATATATTATAAGGTTGTATATATAAAAAGGAATCGCGAGTTGAGAAGAAGAAAAAAAACAGGAAAACCATCAAATAAGAAGATAGATATGCGGTGATATATATTATCAATTTTGTTGTTGAAGAATTGATAGAATTAAACCCTATAGTTACATGCTTAACCCAATCGAATTAAATCCATTGTATATAAGAAGATCTCTGGCGAGCGGATTCAACGAATCTTTTATATATATAAATCTAATACTAAATTCTGTAAATCAATTAACCAGGGATGATTTACAAGATTATTCAAGACACGTACGTCGCAATTGTTTATAAAAGCGATTGCTAAAGAAGATTTTAATTAAAAGTTCTTATTTTATTTTTTCAAAAAATAATTTTAAAAAACGCTGTGGTTATTTTAAAAAACCCTGTTAAAAGTTTAAAAAACGAGTTGAAATACTATATATATAACACAGTTCCTTATAAACTGTCCCAAATAAGTAGTAGATGATAAGGATAATGATAAATTATATATTAAAAATTAAAATGAACTTACATATTAGACCAGCATGGAAAATAATATTTGAAATAGAAAATTTAAAATTGGAAATATTGAAACCAATAATTGACCACTGAAAAACAAAAGAGAGAAAATTGTTTAATTCATACTTGAACAAAAAGAAAAGAAAAGACACAAGTGTTAATTAATTTTCATTTTTTTTCTTATCTTGAATATCTGGCTACTCCAATTTAAAAAAAATGGCAGGTCTGTTCGTATTCAAATACAATAATTG